GCACGTTACAGAAAAGCCAAAATGAACATTTAGAAAATTCTGACATGGAAGGAGAAAGGCTTTATCTGGAATCTGGTTGAGAAAACAGAACAGGACAGAGGACTCTGGAGATCTTTGGTTAGGGTGACGGGCAGTCGTGAAGACGACGATGATGATGATGATGACGACGACGACGATGATGATGATGATGATGATGATGATGATGATGATGATGATGATGATGATAATGATAATGATAATGATTATGATGATGATGATGATGATGATGATTATGATGATGATGATGATGACGATGATGATGATGATGATGATACTGTTGATGATGATGATTTTGATGATATCTTAAGGTCGATATCTCTTCCATCCTTACTTCCGTCAAATGCAGCCATCCTTATTTTTTTTATCCACAAAAGGACTGATCTAGTCACCATTTTGTAATGCTTTAATATTGACGTTTTACCCTGCTACATATAATTAGACATACACACAACCCTGTTACTGCCTTAAACGTAGATCATAAACTATGGCTTAATTTTAACCTAACGTTCACATGAAATGTTAATATGTAGCAGTAGAGCGTTAAATGGAACACTTGTTGTCTCCCTTGGCTATGGAGTTTCAGCTGATTAACTTGCAAGATTTAGCTTAGGATTGACAGCCGAAGTTTCGAATCAAACGAAAACCGCAGATAAAGGGGACTAATGGCTAAATACTTTTTGAAATGTACTGTAAAAAATGTCACTAATACAAAAAATGTTCATTTAAAGTGCGGCTCTATAGCACTTGAACATAACGCTTGAGATTATTTATAAGCTTAAGCTAATATTCCTTGCACGCACGCACACACACACACACACACACACACATATATATATATATATATATATATATATATATATATATATATATATATATATATATATATATATATATATGAACATGTTCCCCCTACCTCATTTGTCTTGTATCTTAAATCTATCTTTATTATTCTTACCGTTAGACTTAACACAGCCGTATAATTAATGAGCCTCACAGCATCGATTAATCTTTGATGTTCTAACACCGCCGCGCTAAATACACTATATTTTCATAGACCGGTTAACATCGAATCTCGGCTCATGAAATATTCTGTCCCCTTATGTTTTGTAAAGATAACATTAAACAAAATCACCATAGAAGATAAATATTTAACGACCTTTGTTTGTTTTTTTAATAAATAAAATAAAATGCTACATACACATCAAGACCAGGAAGATATAAATTGTGTTTTGATTCATTTACAACTCATTATTCGTGTAGAGTTATCGTTCTTGTGTCTCAAAGATTGCTAATACATCCATTCGTTCTTATGGACGTGTAGAGTTATCGTTCTTGTGTCTCAAAGATTGCTAATACATCCATTCGTTCTTATGGAAGTGTAGAGTTATCGTTCTTGTGTATCAAAGATTACTAATACATCCATTCGTTCTTATGGACGTGTAGAGTTATCGTTCTTGTGTCTCAAAGATTGCTAATACATCCATTCGTTCTTATGGACGTGTAGAGTTATCGTTCTTGTGTCTCAAAGATTGCTAATACATCCATTCGGTTCTTATGGACGTGTAGAGTTATCGTTCTTGTGTCTCAAAGATTGCTAATACATCCATTCTGTTCTAATGACGCGTAGAGAGAACGGGAACGAACGTTTATCTCTAACCAAAATCACGTGACGTTAGTTGGAAGCGACAGGCCCACGAAATTTTTTGCCCACCTGGTGTGACGGTAAATATTGTTTCAGAAATCCTGTAGAGGCGGAAGTGACTGTTGCGACGTCACGTCACTGACGTCATTGTTTTATCAAACAATTAGCGGCTCCGCGAAGAGCCTTGAGCCACATCACTGCACCTCAGCCTGTCAGTTTTGAAACGTTGGCTCGGACCTAAGATTTTGGAGATAGTTGGGGAGAATAAATACAAGCCGCGTTTAATAGTGGGACATTTGGATTATAATCGAACACTAAGGACGTTACGGTAAGGAACAATAGGAATAATATCAGAATCATTAATTTTTTTTCTTGTTCGTGCACAAGACATTTTGGGCAGATGAAGTAGTTTATCTGTTTCAATGAACTCGGCCTCAGGGGGGTCATTTTGTCTGCACTATGCCTACCGCATCAGTTTTTTTTAAAGAGTCAGGTACTCATCAAAGCTGGGTGGACTCAGGGAAGTTATACAAGTTGGAACCCGGGATCTGAACTTGAGACTTTCCTTTTGGATCGAAAGATCTACCACACGATAAACTAGTTTAAAATATTATTTATCTTAATAAAAAATGTAACAGTAGTCAGTTTTAAATAAAGTCGAAAATGCTTTAAAATGTTATTTCGTTGCAATAGAAAATTTATTTTAATTTTTTTTTAAACTGAAAGCGCACAGATCTGCCTAGCTAAAAAAAAGAGCTTCTTTAGAATTTTGACAAAACATAGCTTTAAATTACTAAATTAATTTTTACTTGAACAAAGCAGAACAAAAAAAAAAGAATACAAAAAGATAGGTGGATGATCATCACATAGGCTGCGATCTTGCCAGTTTGAACACAATATATTGGTTAAAACTGAAACGTGTTCAATGCAATGATTTCAACTTAAAATTTATTAGTTTTTCCCGAACTTGATTAAAAGATAATGGGCGACAGTCATCGTTTACCTTACTCCACCTCTGCCCCACTCCCCATGTCTCGTCTCCCCGCCCCACTCCCCATGCCCTCATTTCCCCCCCCCCCCCCCCCCTCCAAGGCGATGATTTATTTACCGTCATAATGTGCTGAAACACAATAAAGCGACCCCCATTTCTCATACACACACATACACACATAAGCTCAAACACACACACGATTATTAGCATTTGTCAGCTAAAATTGATGCATGATATTTTTGCAAAATTTGATGTATGATATTACCGTAAAACTTGATGTATATTACTCAGATGGGGGAGGGAAGCTTGAACAATGAAAATTTCAGAATTTCAACACATTTGGATAAAGGAGTAACAGCAACTTGGCAATTCAACAATTGGTTGAAGGATATGAGAAAGTTTTATATGGCAACCTTGTTGGGTGGGGGGGGGGGGGTCAATATCTGGTGACACAGTAGTGGGGGTCAATATCTAATGACCCTTTGTGGGGGTCGATTTCTGATGACCCTGATGTGGGGGTCAATATATAAGTGCAATCTGTCAGCTTCTGATATAATCTGTCAGCTATTGATATAATCTGTCAGCTGTTGATATAATCGGTTTCCTGTTGATATAATCTGTCAGCTGTTGGTATAATCTGTCAGCTGTTGGTATAATCTGTCAGCTGTTGATATAATCTGTCAGCTAATGATATAGAATGTCAGCTGTTGATGATATAACACCAATTGATCTGGCCTCTATCTCCCTCTTTATATTGCTCCACTGCTCGCCTGAAAGTGCGGCCTGTGCTACAAATTTATGGGTAGTGAGGCATCGACTGAGGTTGGTTGGTTGAAATTATTTTAATCTCGTGTATGACAGAGGTCGGGCCATCACAGAGGTCGGGCCATCATAGAGGTCGGGCCATCATAGAGGTCGGGCCATCACAGAGGTGGGGCCATCACAGAGGTGGGGCCATCACAGAGCTCGCGTTATCACGAAGCTTTGGCCATTAGAGTGGTTAGGCCATCGTAGGGGTCCAGTCTTCAGAGGTCCAGCATTTAGGGCTCATGCTATGAGAGGGTGTGAGGGTGGGGAAAAGCAGCGCCACCAAATGTGAGGGTGGGGGTGAAGAGAAGAGCCAAAACACACAAGTCCGATTTAACATGTTCTATGATTCTTTATTTACACAAATCAATTATCTACTTCTACCTAACTAGTCTATACTATATGCTGTCTACTAATACTATTAACTACGCACTCCCATAACTAATCCTATCTACCTCTAACACTCTGCCTAACTCTATATTTCTCTGGCCGTTCCTTACTGTTACCTATCACCAACTGCTGATCTAACAACTGACCAACGCTTCAGTGGTCAGCTGACCGTCCCATGTGACCGGTCAGCTCCAGCATATCCATTGGTCTGTTAAACTAACTAAGCAATAGTCTGTTTCTACCATCTACCCTGAAATAGCGTCATCACAGAGGGGTCAGTCATTAGGGGTTTCAAACCACTAATTGTAGTTACAACCATATATGAAATTCAATGTTGGCCCCCATTCTCTGAAATATCATCTTGGCCCCATTCTCTAAAATCCAGTGTTGGCCCCATACTCTAAAATCCAGTGTTGGCCCAACTCCCGCTAAGGTCGGCTTAGCACTCATCCCTCTGTACACACCCAGCCGTCCAGACGGCCTTCACGTCGCCAATACATCGCCTCTCACCAGTAGCGTAGCCAGGATCGTCTCATGGGGGGGGGGGGGATTCAAATTTTTTCCAGCAGTATATAACCCGGGGACAAACTTTCGATTTGCACCCCCGCCCCTCAAACTTTCGATTTGCACCCCCCTCTCAAACTTTCGATAATCACCACCCCCCCCCCCTCAAACTTTCGATGTGCACCCCCCTCATACTTTCGTTTTATACCCACCCCCCCTCAAACTTTGTATATATATACAGAGGGGTCTATGGGGGGGGGGGGTTATAACCCACCCCCCTAACCCCCCAGCCTACGCCACTGCCTCCCACAAGATGTCGCCAATTCATCGCCTCCCACAAGATGTCGCCAATACATCGCCTCTCCCAACTACTCTCTCAACGCTTGAACTGGCTACACACAATTTATACTTAGAACATTCGTTTTCGTTTAATTTATTTTTATAAAAATTGTTCGAATTATTTTTTGGCCTTAAACAAACTGGCCTATTGACACATATAACATCAATCCAAAGTGGCACGTGACTCTGTAAACGTAAAAAACCTCGTAGGTTTACTAGACCTGGTTTAATGCTATATAAAGCCGCGGGGCTGTCCCATATTTTTTTATATTGAGCTCACAAATTGGGTTTTACGTTCTGTACCTGTGGAATACAATTGTAACATCGTTGGAACACAGTTGGTCTAGGATGTGCCCTGTCGCTCTACACCGTGAGTGGCTAAGGTAAAAGAAATATTTTTCTAATCTTTTTAAAAATTTTAATTAAAATAAAGCGGGAGTGATCTCCCCTGAACGTTCTCGTAAACTCTTTTATAAACATAAGACACAAAAGCTGGGATGCCATTTGTCTATAGGAACATACACGTTTGTGATGAAACAAATCGCTACATATAGAGGCGAAAATTTATTACAAAATGCTGCTTTGAAAAGTACGAAAAAAAATTATCAAATTCGTATAGGGTCTTTAGAAGTCGGAAATTTGCTTACAATACCACTTCCGGTCACCTGAAATCACTCACAATATATTATATATTATATCCATGTACGAAGCGGTGCTCAAGTTATCGGTATATTAGAGACCGAAAATAGAGTAAACTATTACTACCGTAAATCGGAAGTAATTTTAAAAATTGAAAATAATCCAAGTAGAAGATCGCATACTTATATATGAAATTTGTTTTCTACCTAACTGAAACAGTACTCCGGTTATCGTATTCACCCGGAAATAGAGTAAAGTTCCTTTTCCGATTACCGAAAATGGTTTAAAAGTTGATTAAAAAAACCTGCGAATTCTATACAGCTGACTGTTCATACTTCGCGTGTGTGTTTGCACGCAAGCAAATCTAAACGTATGCGTGACAGTTCGACCAGATACCCTACAGCACATGATACTTTTATCTAATTATATTTTATTTGCCAAATCAAAGAACTTACGTTTATAATGAACAAAGCAAAGATTTCTTTCTTACAACGAAATTAAACAAACATTTCTAATTAATCTCAAGCGTGTATGACTTGTTAAATCCGTTATCTAAAAAAAAATAGCAGGTCTGTGTAAATAATGAAGCCAGTGCTCGGCTGCATAAACTTCTAGCAGGTCTGTGTAAATAATGAAACCAGTTTTAGGCTACATAAACTTGTAGCAGGTCTGTGTAAATAATGAAACCAGTTTTAGGCTACATAAACTTGTAGCAGGTCTGTGTAAATAATGAAACCAGTTTTAGGCTACATAAACTTGTAGCAGGTCTGTGTAAATAATGAAACCAGTTTTAGGCTACATAAACTTGTAGCAGGTCTGTGTAAATAATGAAACCAGTTTTAGGCTACATAAACTTGTAGCAGGTCTGTGTAAATAATGAAACCAGTGTTACCTCCATCTCTTTTCAAGAGATTCTTTCCACAAGTTAACGAGTGTAGGCAATGTAAAACCAGAACTCTAATAACATTACAAACAATTCGATTCTTTAAGCTTGAAAAATTATTCTTACTTTGGCAGTAACATAGGCTACTTTGGCTAAGGGGTCATCCATAAATGACGTCACGCTTTTTTTGGACGATTTTTACCTCCCCTCCGTCACACGTCGTCACAAAAAGCCAGACCCCCCACCCCAAAATGACGTCACACCTCAGCCTACAACCCCCCTCAAAACTGCTGTTGAATTTTTCTTAAAACATCGATATTTTTTCCGAAATCTTGTCAGAACTATTTCAACAAAGAGTCTTTTGATTAATTCCTATTACAATTTATTAAAACCGTTTTCTAAAACGCGAAATAAGAGCTAAAACTCGTTTTCTAACATTGCTTTTTTTATAATGCAAAAAAGTGACGTCACACTATCTGACCCCCCCCCCTCCCCCTCATCACACACCGTCACAAAATTACGGACCCCCCCCCCCCCTCCCCCTACGAGTGTGACGTCATTTATGGACGACCTCCCTAATTCTCGAGAAAACCTCATATTTTGGTGTGTTTTTTTTTTTTAAATAAACGTGTGTGGCTTGTAAATGATTAAAAGCATATTCACACATACGCGCCAAAACTAAAATTAATTTTAGAATCTTGGCCGAATCTTTTGGGCATTTATCAATTTAACCTAATCAAAATGTTGTTTTAAATTGTTATTTTAGAGAGATGCGGCCCCATAGCAAGGTGTTCCGGATGTTGATGGTAGTGACTGCCCTTTGGAGTTTCGCTATTGTGTTGTCACTGTACGCGGGCAACCTGACGTCATTCGGGTCAGAGGTCACGGGAGATGTGAGGGCTCGGGAGTTCAATGACAGGGTCAACATGTCTGGGGCGCACCTGATGTCCCAACTGGCAGCAGACAGAAACTTAATGAAGGTAAGAATAAAGGTGTCCATCTGCACTGTAAATAAACATTCGGGCTCAAATTGATGAGGGTCATAGCCTACACAAGACAAAGGATTGACTTCCCTTATTTTTTAGCCAATCGTGCAAAAGTTAAAACAACATGTTTATACTTCTCTAATTTAAAAAATAAATCTAAAACAACATATTTATAATTTTAAAGAAATTTTTGAATTAGAATATTCTTGAAGTGTCTTTAAAATACAATTTAGAGGACAAGCAATTTTAATCTATTTTTACCCACCCCCCCCCCCTCCGCCACCAGCTTATCGTTTAGCATCGTAAAAACAAGTAATTAAAAAAAGTCTAGTGACAATTTTAGCGCAATTTCCTTGTGTTATCTAAAAATAGCTCTGTCGTAGCGTAAATCAAGAGCAGGGTTAGTAAAACCATTGGTTAGTTATTAAAACGTTTTTTATTAATTTTTTTTCAGTATTTTACATGTTTTATTTACAATAGAGTAACATGACTAAAAACCATTGCGCGCCCAGCTACCGAACGTGACGTCGCAGCCATTGAACGTGATGGCGCAGCTATTGAACGTGATGACGCGTGTGGTGTGGTTGCATAAAATGCCTACTAATTCGGTCCAAATTTTAATTAATTCAAAATTTTTGTTGTGACCGAACGAAAGGATATTTTTGAAAACTTTCTTCGGCAATATTGTTCTAAATTATGGCAGGAATCGATTGGTACATATTTCAAATCGCTAAGTGGTCTGGTTGCCGAGATATGGGCCAAAAACTGCTTTTTTAAATAGGTTTTTTGGCTTTTCCGGGAAATCCATGAAAGAAACCCGGAATTTGTATGGCCTATGTTCATCCTCGTAACTTGCTTAACATAATTGCTTTTGGAACTAGTCATCGATATTGCTTCGTTGAAGAGGAGATACGACTTAAAGCTGCGGACACACATACATCCATCGATCCATCCATTCATTCATACATTCATACATCCAGAAATGACGGGTTAATAAACGCAATTCTCCAGAATGGAAATTGCGCTAAAAACAACCTAAGACAAGCATAATTTTATCGATAATTGGCAGATTTTACATCTTCTCCATAGTAACTTATTGTAAAAAAAATCACCCCCCCCCCTCCACCACGTGAGTGACGCCAATTCTGGACGACGCTCACTAGCAGTAAATATCAAGAGTTGGCCGAGGAGTCTATGGGTCACACGAGCACAATGACCCCAATAATCCCATCCTCCCCTGCCCAACGATACTATTCTTGGGATCGAGTCACATGAGCTAATCCCAAGGCTATAAATAGCTTTCGACAGCAGATTCTATCTCCTAAAACTGCCCGGGTCACACCCTCACAATCTATAAATAGTATCACCAACCAAGTCAGGTGTAATGTTTCCCACTGAAGCCATTCATCCCCGACGTTGTCTTTGGTCCCTGGGCTATTTGTAATTAACTAATAGTATCGTGGGGTGATGTTGTGTGGAGTGGGGTGGGGTGGGGGATTGAGCGGAACTTTTATAGTAAGAAATATAACTGTGTGAGTGTGTATGTGTGCGCCTGTGTGTGTCAGTGTCTGTGTTTGTGTGTCTGTGTTTGTGTGTCTGTCAGTCTGTCTGTCTGTCTGTCTGTCTGTCTGTCTGTCTGTCTGTCTGTCTGTCTGTCTGTCTGTCTGTCTGTCTGTCTGTCTGTCTGTCTGTCTGTCTGTCTGTCTGTCTGTCTGTCTGTCTGTCTGTCTGTCTGTCTGTCTGTCTGTCTGTCTGTCTGTCTGTCTGTCTGTCTGTCTGTCTGTCTGTCTGTCTGTCTGTCTGTCTGTCTGTCTGTCTGTCTGTCTGTCTGTCTGTCTGTCTGTCTGTCTGTCTGTCTGTCTGTCTGTCTGTCTGTCTGTCTGTCTGTCTGTCTGTCTGTCTGTCTGTCTGTCTGTCGGGGCGCTTTTACCAGTCACTTTGTCTTTTTGATTTGGTGTAACATAATTGATGTAGAAAACGATTAAATAAGTTCGTAATTTAAATTTCGAACATTTCAAACGGTTATCTTATTTTAATAGGGCTTGTAAGTCTCGTTTTCTCTGTCTTTGAATTAGAAATCTGTCCTGTTGTATAGAGTTTTGTAATGGCGGGGTGTTCAAAGTATTGTACTTGTTTGGTAAGTTTTGATGAATCGTTTAGATTTTGGAGTAACGGCGGAAGGCTGTTGCTGATATGGTTTCTTAGGTATAAAGTATCGAAGTGTTAAAGTGTCGTATTTCGGGAGTATTGATTCTTGTGGTGTTAAGGTATCGAATTATATTGACTGTTAAAGTGTAGTAGTAGGTCCAGTGAAATCGTTGTTGATTGGGAGTACCGTTTGTAGAGCTTGGTGAAGTTAAACGAGTTGGTGTCGTAATTCTGTAGCATCGAGTCTAGTTCTGTTTAGGTATCGATGTTTGATATGTGTTGTGAATGTAGTAGTCGAGTTTATCGTAAGTTAGATATTTCAATTCAGTACGGAACACACTACAAAGAAAGGTAGGCGTTCTCTAGTTGAAAAATCTTTAGTTTTTTAGGAATCTATATTACCACTCTTAAAGTATTAATATATATTAAATAGGATGGAATTTATAACTAAGGGTAAAGCTTTGTTTTTTCAAATTATATTTTTTTTTTATATTTAATCAATCGTTCTAGCAATGTCTAATCTAATACAGTTACCCGTGTTTGATTTTTTTTAAAGGCGTCCCTTTATTTAGGGGATCCAAAAATTTCTACAATACTTTGTTAAACTCAACTAAAATACAATATACGTCATCAAAATTGAATAGAAGTATGTTATAAAAAGGTGCACTTTTTAGACTTTCAAACAAAACCTGCAGTTAAGTATTCAATAGGTAAAATATATTCTTTTCACAAGGTTACATAGCTAATATAAAAGATTTGTTATAATTATTACGTAATGAAATTTAGAGCGTTTTATTGTGTTTTTCAAGCATGTCTTAGTTACACTTGGTTAATTTAGCTATTCTTGTGAAAGCTATTTCCCTTGGATGATATTTTGGTATTTGGATTTTCAAATGGGAGATAATTCGTTGCTTAACTTTACATTCATTTCAAATTCCTGCAACTTAGGTTGTCCGCTTACATTTAAATACAACTTTTACTTATTATTTGCGATTATATAAATTATATAGAGATTAAATTAAGTTCTAAACAAAATAGTTTGTCGGCGTATATCGCCCCCCCCCCCCGAACGAAATGGAATATATATAGAGAAAATATATACTTTAAACAGTGTCCACCCCCCCCCTTTCCCCGAAAATTTTAGTCGCCCCCCCCCTCCCAAAATATCAAGTGCCCCCGGGGAAAAAAGTCTGGAAGAAACACTGTTTGGAACTCACCTTGCGAGGACTGCAGAGAGCCTAACACTACAAGAACATTTTTTGTGTTTTTTTTCCCAGACTTTTTTCTCCCGGGAGCGGGGGGGGGGGGAGCACTTAAAATGTTCTAAAGGGGGAGGGCTATGTCGTAAAGTACAAAGTAGACTCGTGGACAATTTCAATAAAATGTGATTACGCTTGCTAACTGGAATTGAAGGAATTAGTATAAACTTTTGAGACGAAGGAGGCAAGTAAAATTTGATTTTGATGTCTACTTATAACTTGTATGCAACTGATAGTAGTAAATTAATGTCACTGTTAATTAATCGTTTTCTTAGACATATGTTTTAGTAATTAATTTGTGTGAAAGGGGGTGTTTTAATAAGTTTTGCCCAGGGCGCTAAATTACCTGGCGTCGGCACTGCCAAGATCATACTTTCTGACACAAGATCACTGCCAAGATCATACTTTCTGACACAAGATCACTGCCAAGATCATACTTTCTGACACAAGATCACTGCCAAGATCATACTTTCTGACACAAGATCACTGCCAAGATCATACTTTCTGACACAAGATCACTGCCAAGATCATACTTTCTGACACAAGATCACTGCCAAGATTATACTTTCTGACACAAGATCACTGCCAAGATTATACTTTCTGACACAAGATCACTGCCAAGATTATACTTTCTGACACAAGATCACTGCCACGATTATACTTTCTGACACAAGATCACTGCCAAGATTATACTTTCTGACACAAGATCACTGCCAAGATCATACTTTCTGACACAAGATCACTGCCAAGATTATACTTTCTGACACAAGATCACTGCCAAGATTATACTTTCTGACACAAGATCACTGCCAAGATTATACTTTCTGACACAAGATCACTGCCACGATTATACTTTCTGACACAAGATAGTGATGTCATGACAACACACTCGTTGTAAAAATTAGGTAAAATAAAAAAATAATTAAAAACTAATGTAACTTTTTTCCTTTCCTCCTCCTCCTACCCCGTCTATAGCAAATGGTCGTCCAGATGTCCCAAAACAAGGCCATGCGACACGACATCGCTGTCCTCCTAAACCTCACGTCTCACCTAGCCGAGCCTGACCTGATGGTGCGACAAGAGACTCTCCGGACGGCCGACACGCTGAAGGCAGCCTGGCCACCTAAGGCCGTGCCGTCAGACTACGGTACGTCCCACCCAGAGCCCTGCGTCACTACAACATTCAATGTATAGTTCACTGTAAATGTCAGGATTAGTTCACTGTAAATGACAGGATTTTTACACTGTAAATGTCAGGATTAGTTCACTGTAAATGTCAGGATTAGTTCACTGTAAATGACAGGATTTTTTCACTGTAAATGCCAGGATTAGTTCACTGTAAATGCCAGGATTAGTTCACTGTAAATGCCAGGATTAGTTCACTGTAAATGCCAGGATTAGTTCACTGTAAATGACAGGATTTTTTCACTGTAAATGTCAGGATTAGTTCACTGTAAATGTCAGGATTAGTTCACTGTAAATGACAGGATTTTTTCACTGTAAATGTCAGGATTAGTTCACTGTAAATGCCAGGATTAGTTCACTGTAAATGCCAGGATTAGTTCCCAGCAAATGCTTAGTTTAGTTCCCTGCAATGCCAGGTTTTGTTCCCTGCAAATATCAGGTTTAGTTCCCTGCATATATCAGGTTTAGTTCCCTGTAAATGCCAGATTTAGTTCCCTACAAATGTCAGGTTTAGTTCCCTGTAAATGCCAGGTTTAGTTCCCTGTAAATGCCAGGTTTAGTTCCCTGTAAATGCCAGGTTTAGTTCCCTACAAATGTCAGGTTTAGTTCCCTGTAAATGCCAGGTTTAGTTCCCTGTAAATGCCAGGTTTAGTTCCCTGTAAATGCCAGGTTTAGTTCCATGTTAATGCCAGGTTTACTTCCCAGCATATGTCAGGATTAATTCCCTATCAAACAAGTCAAATTGAGAGCTGAACTTTTTGCCCTTAGGGTACGGCGGTGCTCCACTCAAGATTGACCCGTCTGGCCTTGACCCGAGAGAAAAGGTCATCTTTGATCAGGGGTACAAGAATTATAAAGTAAACCAACTGGCCAGCGATCGAATCCCACTCAGAAGAGAGATTCGTGTTGACCTGCCAGAGTAAGTTTCTATTAGGTTTATGCTAGGTTTTCGTGTAATTAATTAGGTTTATAATAATGAGGTTTATCATAATTAGGGTTATAAAGGGTTTTGATGAATATAATAGTTTTCGTGGAAATAATTAGGTTTATAATAATGAGGTTTATAATAATGAGGTTTATAATAATGAGGTTTATAATAATTAGGTTTATAATAAGTTTTGATGAATATAATTGTTTATAGTAGGTTTTGATGGAAATAATTATGATTATGACTTTTATGGTAGGTTTAAATGAAAACTATTAGGTTTATGGTTAGTTCCGGGGGAAATAATAAGAGATGTAGTAAGTAGGTTTATAATAATTAGGTTTATGACGTGTTCTGATGGAAATAATTAGGTTTATATTAATTAGGTTTATAGTGTTATTGTTATGTACAATGTATTACTTGAACATAATCTGAATTTGAACATAATCTGAATGTAAATCTGAATTAGAACCTAATCAGAATTAGAACCTAATCAGAATTAGAACCTAATCAGAATTAGAACCTAATCAGAATTAGAACCTAATCAGAATTAGAACCTAATCAGAATTAGAACCTAATCTGAATTAGAACCTAATCTGAATTAGAACCTAATCTAAATTAAAACCTAATCAGAATTAGAACCTAATCAGAATTAGAACCTAATCAGAATTAGAACCTAATCAGAATTAGAACCTATTCTGAACTAGAACCTAATCTGAATTAGAACCTAATCTGAATTAGAACCTAATCTGAATTAGAACCTAATCTGAATTAGAACCTAATCTGAATTAGAACCTAATCTAAATTAAAACCTAATCAGAATTAGAACCTAATCTGAATTAGAACCTAATCTGAATTAGAACCTAATCTAAATTAAAACCTAATCAGAATTAGAACCTAATCTGAATTAGAACCTAATCTGAATTAGAACCTAATCTAAATTAAAGCCTAATCAGAATTAGAACCAAATCTGAATTAGAACCTAATCTGAATTAGAACCTAATCAGAATTAGAACCTAATCTGAATTAGAACCTAACCTGAATTAGAACCTAATCAGAATTAGAACCTAAACTGAATTAGAACCTAATCTGAATTAGAACCTTACCTGAATTAGAACCTAATCAGAATTAGAACCTAACCTGAATTAGAACCTAACCTGAATTAGAACCTAATCAGAATTAGAACCTAACCTGAATTAGAACCTAATCTGAATTAGAACCTAACCTGAATTAGAACCTAATCAGAATTAGAACCTAACCTGAATTAGAACCTAACCTGAATTAGAACCTAATCAGAATTAGAACCTAACCTGAATTAGAACCTAATCAGAATTAGAACCTAACCTGAATTAGAACCTAACCTGAATTAGAACCTAATCAGAATTAGAACCTAACCTGAATTAGAACCTAACCTGAATTAGAACCTAACCTGAATTAGAACCTAACCTGAATTAGAACCTAACCTGAATTAGAACCTAACCTGAATTAGAACCTAATCAGAATTAGAACCTAACCTGAATTAGAACCTAATCTGAATGTAATTCTGTACCTGACCCCAGGTGTAGCGGCATTATCTACGAGAGCCAAAGTTTACCCAAAGCCGGGGTGGTCATCATCTTCTACAATGAGCTGTGGTCAGTCTTGATGAGAACCGTCTTCAGTATCCTGGACGCTGGCCCTGACCACCTCATCACAGAGGTCGTCCTGGTGGATGACGCTTCAGACAAAGGTCAGTCAGCGTTTTTAATACGTCATTGGGGTTAAAGGTTACGTACACAAATAAAGATTTGGCTGGCATTGATTGGTTAACGTTGACTGATACATCAGGCAAGACGCTGGTTGATGTGGATATTTAAGAGCACTTACCTTGTTATGTTGTGGGGGAATGTGGTCGAGTTGTAGAACTTGAAAGTTCGAATCCCGTGTTCAGTTCATTGCACGAGTCCGCAGAGGTTTATTGAGTTCGCCTAGCTCTATTGAATACTTGGCAAGTTTGAGTAAGAAACAGATAAACTTTGCACCATCTTGAGCTATTAAACGTTAATTTATGTGGGTTTTTTTTCAAGTTTTGAACAAAACATTGCGCCTCTACTGAATTTGTTGACAACGACTACATGTGTTTACATCAAACTCGTGTATGTTTACATCTGACTCGTTTTGTTTACATGTTTCCAGAGTTTTTGGGACCTCCCCTAGAGAATTACCTGAAGATATTTGGCGGCAAAGTGAAGCTGGTCCGACTACCCAGGAGGCAGGGTCTGATCGAGGCACGCATGATTGGTTTTGATCACGTGACCGCGCCCATCGCTGTTTTCCTGGACGCTCATTGTGAGGTCACCACAGGTAAACACTTCCTCCATGTTCTTGTGGGTGTGATAAGCTGCTGTGGCCTGGCGATAGAGCGCTAGACTGCTAATCCAAAAGTCTCGAGTTTGAATGCAGGTTTAAGTAAGATGAATGTCGCTGAGTCCACCTAGCTCTGATAAGTACCTAACAGTAAGGGAAGTAAATGCGGCTGAACATAGTGATGACCAAACTATCCCTTCTTATGCCGAGGTCACAGAAACAGGTGAACTCTACTTCACTTGCACCATGGACGGTCAGGTTCGAAAAGGGAACTTCATCGTTAACTTACATTGACCTGGGTATAACGCTAGTTAGGAAAAACCATCACCCATTGTTGTGTGGGTTGTCCCATTACCGTGTGCCGGCTTTGTCCCATTACCGTGTGCCGGCATTGTCCCATTACCGTGTGCCGGCTACCTGTCCCCATTACCGTGTGCCGGCTACTTGCCCCCATCACCGTGTGCCGGCTACTTATCCCCATCACCGTGTGCCGGCTACCTGTCCCCATTACCGTATGCCGGCTACCTGTCCCCATTACCGTATGCCGGCTACCTGTCCCCATTACCGTATGCCGGCTACCTGTCCCCATTACCGTATGCCGGCTACCTGTCCCCATTACCGTATGCCGGCTACCTGTCCCCATCACCGTGTGCCGGCTACCTGTCCCCATTACCGTATGCCGGCTACCTGTCCCCATCACCGTGTGCCGGCTACCTGTCCCCATCACCGTGTGCCGGCTACCAGTCTCATGCTGCCGGCATTATCCCCTCCCCAGGCTGGCTGGAGCCGCTCCTGCAGCGTATCAAGGAGGACGACACGGTCCTGGCCATCCCGACCACAGACCGCATCAACTGGGACACGTTCCAGGTAGGTTTAGCCTTCAAGTTTTGGTGGCCAAAGGTCAAATAGGTTTGAGGTTTAAGGTTTAACATCCGGTGTTTGACAGGTAGGTTTAGCGTTCAAGTTTTGGTGGCCAAAGGTCAAGCAGATGACAGGTAGGTTTTAGGTTTAACATCCAGTGTCAGGTTGTCAACTTATGACAGCTAGGTTTTAGGTTTAGATGACAGATGGGTTTTAGGTTTAGATGACAGGTAGGTTTTAGGTTTAGATGACAGGTAGGTTTCAGGTTTAAATGACATGTATGTTTTAGGTTTAGATGACATGTAGGGTTTAGGGTTAGATGACAGGTAGGTTTAAGGTTTAACATCCAGATAAAGATGACAAGCATAAACTATACCATCATTTCTAGCAGCATTTTCATTTTTAAGGCGGTCATTTAATTAGTAATAATGGTGAAATTCATGAAAAATAATTTTACAGTAATTAAAGATAATGATAAAATAATTGACAATGTTGTACTTCTAGTACGAGTTCAAGGCCAACTTTGAGCAGGAGAGAGGCGGGTTTGATTTTGATATGAACTACAACTGGATTATGCCCCCTCCCCCTCCAGATGGCGTTGAGAGAAAAAGTTACGCTGACCCAGTCAAGTAAGTTTTGTCTCTGTCAAAAATTGTCAGATATTATCATCTTATTGTGCATGTCCTTCACTTAAATATAGTAAGAAGTGTTGATATCATGCTGAATGTCTTATGATGTTCATATCAAATCATGTTTTATCAATGCCAAGGGTAGACACTGGTACAGATCTAGTCCGAGTTAAGACAAAGCAGTTTTAGCCAAACGGGATCTGAACAGAGTTTCTTTCGGGCATCTTTTCGAGAGGGGGGGGGGTGGAGGCTGAGAAGGGAAATATATAGAAAATACAACTTTTACCAGGGTCCGCCCCCCCCTCCCCACCCCCCCCCCCCCACTCGGGAAAATTTAGCCTCCCCCTCCCCGAAAACTTAGTGCCCCCCCCCCTCCCCTGAGAAAAAAGTCTGAAAGAAACACTGGATCCGAACCTACCAATCCACTGATGTTAAATACAGTTTTACTACGACACACGTGTGCCCTAACATAGGAGGTTATTTATTTTTAGAAACGAGCCGTCGAGTGAGCCATGTTTTGTTTTGAAACAAGTCCATAAAGTCAAAGAAGCGATGAGCCAGATCAGCAGATTTCATATTAATTCGCCTTGCCCTGTCCTGTTAAATACTGTGATTTGTTTATATACATTTTAGGCTTCTGAACATCCCAATAGAATTTCTATGTAATGCTCTAATCTGGCCCGTTATATTAGCATGTGGATGTGCTGCCTCATGTGTTTATAACCCGCCTCATGTGTTTTTAACCCGCCTCATGTGCTTATAACCCGCCTCATGTGTTTATAACCCAAACATTTTGTTGTGCTCTTGCTCCAGGACCCCGACACATCTGGGCTGTTGTTTTGCTGTTTCTAAGCAGACGTTTGAAAAACTTGGCCGATATGACCCTGGCCTTGACATTTGGGGATGTGAAAATCTCGAGCTGTCTTTTAAGGCAAGTAGAAACATCAAAACTTAATCAGACCACATTCTCAGATCTCTACAGTGTTGATACTGTGAGCGGAAAAAAAAAGTCACAGGAAAAGGTGTCACAAAAGAAAATACTTACCGGAAAAATTCACAGAAAAAAAGATTGAGTAGAACTCTTTTATTAAAAAGTTTAATGTATAAAATACTTTTAGTAAAAACTGAGAAGTTTTAAAAAACATTTTCTTGGATCACATTTATCCGTCCACACACACTCAGTAACCTATTACACACACACACACACACTATAAACCTACTACACACACTCAGTAAACTTACTACACACACTATAAACCTACTACACTACTATACTCACATAAACCTATATAGACATTTCATAAGTGACAAAATATCTATCTTAACCCTTGGTGAGGGTATCATCGACACCAACATTGAAAGTATTGTGACTGGAGATTCTATCTAGCTTTAGAACTATACACGTGTGTGTAGGGCTAATCAATGAACGTGGTATCTTCTCCTCTATCAGACCTGGATGTGTGGGGGTCGTGTGGAGATGATCCCCTGCTCACACGTGGGTCACATGTACCGCCCCGCCTTCCCCTACAGCTGGGGTGAAAACTCGACCTTCACCCTCCAGAGGAACTGTCTGCGGGTGGCCGAGGTTTGGTTGGATGAATATAAAAAAGTTTACTATGAACGCATCTCGGATTTACAGGTACGAAACAAATACCAACAACCAACAAAACTCTTTCATACTTGTTATTTTTTTAAAATTACCTATTACAAACTTAAGTATACAATAATTTCGTCACACGCTGATCAAAACATACTGAAAATTAAAATCTACCAAATTTATAATGACGTGTGTGTAATGTTTATCAAACGAACATTTTAGTGTGGGGCTTACTTGCTTTCAACGCTGATATAATATTTATTTGTGAATTAAGTGCAAACCTATTTTTAGATAGTCTTTATAATCAGTTTTGCTAAATGTTCCTCGTCATGGATTCAACAAAAGATGTCCACGCTATTTTTAAAATGTTGAAATGACTGCATCAAGCGCTGGCTGCCTGGCGTTATGTTGAATTTTATTAACTTGCTGTTGTCTATAATAGACGGTGGTAGTTTGAAATGTCGCCAAATGAAAATAAAAGCTTCTTGTGGCAAAAAGTGGGAATTGTTGACTTTAGTATACATTATACAACGATTTATATCTGACAAAATAGCATCATGGTCTAGTTCTTATATTCTCTGTTGACAAAATAGCACATGGTCTAGTTCTTATATTCTCTGTTGACAAAATAGCCCATGTTCTAGTTCTTATATTCTCTGTTGACAAAATAGCACATGGTCTAGTTCTTATATTCTCTGTTGACCAAAATGACCCATGGTCTAGTTCTTATATTCTCTGTTGACAAAATAGCCCATGGTCTAGTTCTTATATTCTCTGTTGACCAAATGGCCCATGGTCTAGTTCTTATATTCTCTGTTGACCAAATTACCCATGGTCTAGTTCTTATATTCTCTGTTGACCAAATGGCCCATGGTCTAGTTCTTATATTCTCTGTTGACCAAATGACCCATGGTCTAGTTCTTATATTCTCTGTTGACCAAATGACCCATGGTCTAGTTCTTATATTCTCTGTTGACCAAATGGCCCATGGTCTAGTTCTTATATTCTCTGTTGACCAAATGGCCCATGGTCTAGTTCTTATCTTCTCTGTTGACAAAATAGCTCATGGTCTAGTTCTTATATTTTCTGTCGACCAAATGTCCCACGGTCTAGTTCTTAGCTTCTCTGTTACCAAAAGTCCATGGTCTAGTTCTTATGTTCTCTGTCGACCAAATGTCCCATGGTCTAGTTCTTATCTTCTTTGTTGACCAAATGTCCCATGGTCTAGTTCTTATCTTCTCTGTTGACCAAGTGACCCATGAATGACCCTTGGTCTAGTTTTTATGTTTTCTGTCGACCAAATGTCCCACGGTCTAGTTCTTAGCTTCTCTGTTACCAAAAGTCCATGGTCTAGTTCTTATGTTCTCTGTCGACCAAATGTCCCATGGTCTAGTTCTTATCTTCTTTGTTGACCAAATGTCCCATGGTCTAGTTCTTATCTTCTCTGTTGACCAAGTGACCCATGAATGACCCATGGTCTAGTTTTTATGTTTTCTGTCGACCAAATGTCCCATGGTCTAGTTCTAAGCTTTTCTGTTGACCACCTCTTTCAGCAAACGCTGGACATTGGAGACATCAGTGAGAGGAAAGCCTTGAGAGAGCGCCTGCAGTGCCGGTCGTTTGACTGGTACGTCAAGGAGATCTACCCAGAGCTGTACATCCCCCTGGAGACAGCTGCCACGGGCAGGGTAAGGTCCACCACATGCCCCCCTCCTCTTTGCTTACAGGTCCATTGCTTCAGTGGAACGGTTTTTTTTTTGAGTCATTGGCTGATCTTTCCAAAGGGGTGGGATTTTTAAATAACAGTATGTATGTATATATATATATATATATATATATATATATATATATATATATATATATATATATGTTAATAATAAGTATAATTAAAATATTCAATGGACTGTAAGAAACTACCCAGACGTAGCCCTAGCTAAGAATTAATTAATAATTAATTAGGCAAGACTACCCAGAAGAATGTTAGGTTTCCAGAATACTATTGTTGAGTAAGATGTGATTAACTGTGCTTGTTCTCCAGATCTCCAATGTGGCCGACCCAGTATTGTGTATAACCAGAGACATTCGCCAGTCAGTGACTGATGCCTCGGTTAGGGCGTGTCACCCCCTCGAACAACACCAGGTAAGTGAAACACGTCGGTTGAATGAATAGACATGTATCAAATGGTGTTTTTACTTCTGATATTGTTCATCAGTTTATAAATATTTTCCTATTTATGTATATATTTGCATTAAATATGTTAATTATATATTTAGAACAATCTTTTGCATTCTCGAATAATTCTCGTATCAATCAAAAGCAACGATAAAAAAATATTGTAGGGGAGGTAATCAAAAGAAAAAACTGCATCACAATATTATACACGGTTATTTCCCTTTGACTGCAATCTCATTTAACCAACTATTTAATTTATCAGCTAGTCTAGAAATTGTTTAAATTAAAAAAAACTCTGTTGCAGCATTTTTTCTTAAGTAAAGAGAAGCAGATCAGAAGAGACCAGGCGTGTTTGACCTATGATAGTAGCACGTATGAGCTCCGCATGAAGTACTGCGACCAAGTACCTAATCAGTGGGTTTACACAGAGGTATACACATTTTCTCTTCTTTAGTATTTTTATAAGCTTTTACTTAGTTCCCATCAGTTTGTGGATTTGTCATTTGTGGCAAATCTTGTATCTCAATTTTAGCCCACTTCTAATGCACTGATTTCATTCAAACTTTCCAGAAACCTTATTCTTCTATCATACTTTTTTTTTTGTTTAATTAGACATTATGTTAGTCACTATGATTAAATAAAAAAAAATAATACATCCAAAATTAAAGAGGTGATAACACTGTGTGATCAACTCACCTTCGAGGAAGAACTCTTAGTCAAGGTTGACTGTCTTTTAAAGACCACAAGCTACTAGTCTGATTATAACGCAAATATTTTTATTCATAGCCTATAAAGATCAAGTGTCAACATTATTTTGAACGAATTTTAAAAAGTGAAAAACAGAACAAATATAAAAACTTTTAAATTCACTGAAAGTAATAAAAGAAAACAAATTTGCTTTTTTTTATATAAAACTTTGGTCGCTAAAATATGTAAGAGATTTCATGAACAACCTAGGCTTTTATCAAAGAAAGCAGGATTGTTTTATTTTCTTACTTTCAAAAGCTGGTTTACAATTATTTATTTACTTTTATAATGATATTCCTTTAATCTAACATAAGATTTCATAAATATAAAAATCTTTAAAACTAGAGATAAGAATCACCTTCAAAGCTACATAATTCTGATTTTAAACTGTTGAAGTTAAGAACTACATACTGAATACAAAACCTTAGTAAAATTTTTGATACTCCATAATTTAATCTTCAAATGGTTGCAGTTATTAAAGTAATCAAATAGTTATATAAAAATACCCTTTTCCATCTTTAATCCCAAATATCTTGGTCTAGTTTATGAATTGTTTGCACAATGTAAATGTATAATGCACAGGAGGACACTATCATGGAGCTACACACAGGCTACTGTATTAGTCTTTCTATAGACGGGCAGAAAGTTTCTGTAGAGCCGTGTGACAGTCAAAACCCTAGGCAACGCTGGTCATGGCCCAGAAAAAGTGTTCAATTTAATTACACATAAAATCACATTTTAATTCAATAATTAGCTGATTACACTTTAATATACTAAGATCCAAAATAATTGAGAACTAACTGCAGACTCACTATTGGTTAGTTAAATTCATCAGCAGACAAGTATAATAAATTTAACTATTCTTAGCTTCCAGAAAGCTAAAGAAAAGGTGAAATGAGAGGTATATAAAATGTCTCACCTATTTTAAAATGTTTATTTTATGTTTTTCTCTATGTAAATATATAAAAACTGATGTATAAGTCCTAGTATTTGTATAAAGTTTTGTATTTATTTAACCTGATAAATAGGTGGCACTATCAACTACATTTTAACTTTGTCTAAAAATAAAATGTAACCAATATGTAAATTTATGACTTAATGAAGAAATAATTTGAAAAGGATGTGCAATAACATTTTTAATTTGATCCATGTTTAATTATTACATTCAAACATCAAGCACAATTTTATATCATTTGATTTGGTAGAATGTTTATATCATGATTTTACTTATTTGAAACTGACTGTTAATGTTATTTATTTGAGAGTTTTTAATTATTTGTACAAAGTATTCAACTGTTATATTCAACTCTTATAGAACTGTAGAGAAATTACTTTTTAAACTTATACTTGAAGTATTTGATAATTTTTAATTTGAAAAATAATGGATGCAAAATATATTAAACTTAAAAATTTGTATTCCCTTACAAAGTCTAATTGTATTAACTGAGAAGTCATATAGTTAATTTATAAATTCAAAAATTTTGCTTTTCCCATCCTAAAAGTTTACCAATCAGGTAAGTGCTATGAATTTATCTCCAACTAATGCAATAAGCATTTTAATGGTACAAAAACTTGAGTTCCAACTAACAACCTGCTTCACAGTCAAGTTGAAGTTTTACCTAGAACTTGGAATAGCATAAAAAAATATTTTTTAATCATTAAAAATATCCTTCCAGTTAACTGTATTAAATATAAATGCTTTAATTTTTTGTTTTAGAAAAGCTGTTTAACAGTACATAGTCATGAATTGAATTTATAACAATGTTATCCTCTTGTCTACACACCTTTCAATGGATGAAGTCATGTTTCTTTTCAAATGGGTATGAATGTAAATGTGTGTGAGTGTGGATTAAGGACGAATTTATTGAATTAGCAACTACCTGATATTTAATTAACCAGAAGGAACACAACAAATAATTACAATAAATGTTTCACTGAACATGAAAAAAAAATTATTATTGGTAAACAAAATCATTAAATGTTTTAACTTTTTTTATTGACAAGTTTTTGTTAGCTTTCTTCAGTTTAAAACATACCTATACATACATCTGTTCAGTAAACATACACTGTAAATATTTTTTAAACATTTTTAAATGCAAATATAATTTTCAACATTTTAAAATGCCATGTTTAACCTCTAAAACTCAGTACCTTAAAAAAAAAAAAACCTGATTTGAAATGTCTTTTTCAAAAATTTAAATATTTACTAGGACTTGAACCATTTGTGAAAAAAAAATGACCATCAGAACAACTTAACACCCTTTGTGACAAGTTATTTTTGTTAATAAAATGGCTGCAACAAATTTTAGCCATGAAGACATACATTAAACTTCTGGATACCATATTATTACAAAATATAAACTAGAATCCTATGCCATTTTACAACTGAAGTAACAGTATCCATCCGATGAATCAGTTCAAGAAATCAACACAAAAAGATTTAATCAATACATATTCTGGGCATTGGCTGATCTTGGAACCTTGATTTTGTCAATATTCTTCATGATGATATCATGCAGTGATGCCTGAAAATTATTTGCAGGGTACACTTTAGTTGAATTAAATGTTATTAAAATTTAACGTATAAAGTAGAACACATACATCTAAAATTTTAAACAGTAAAATGCTTTAGGTGAATCAATTTACTTACGTAGTGATTTCTCATTTCGAGAATAGCATTTTGCAGATTGAGCATTTGCCTTTCATCAAACTCTTTAATGGATTGTCTGTAATCCTCCTATTAACAAAAGTGTAAATGACTGTGTAAGGTTGTACATTAACTAACAGCATAAGAATGTTTTAAAATGGGCATAAAAATAAGAAAACAAAAAAATCTTAAAATAAAACACAATGTGAGGGTATAAATGGAACAACACTTACAATGTGAGGGTATAAATGGAATAACACTTACAATGTGAGGGTATAAATGGTCAACACTTACAATGTGAGGGTATAAATGGAACAACACTTACAATGTGAGGGTATAAATGGAATAACACTTACAATGTGAGGGTATAAATGGTCAACACTTACAATGTGAGGGTATAAATGGAACAACACTTACAATGTGAGGGTATAAATGGAATAACACTTACAATGTGAGGGTATAAATGGTCAACACTTACAATGTGAGGGTATAAATGGAACAACACTTACAATGTGAGGGTATAAATGGAATAACACTTACAATGTGAGGGTATAAATGGAATAACACAATGTGAGGGTATAAATGGTCAACACTTACAATGTGAGGGTATAAATGGAACAACACTTACAATGTGAGGGTATAAATGGAACAACACTTACAATGTGAGGGTATAAATGGAATAACACTTACAATGTGAGGGTATAAATGGAATAACACAATGTGAGGGTATAAATGGTCAACACTTACAATGTGAGGGTATAAATGGAACAACACTTACAATGTGTGGGTATAAATGGAACAACACTTACAATGTGTGGGTATAAATGGAATAACACTTACAATGTGAGGGTATAAATGGAATAACACTTACAATGTGAGGGTATAAATGGAACAACACTTACAATGTGAGGGTATAAATGGAATAACACAATGTGAGGGTATAAATGGAACAACACTTACAATGTGAGGGTATAAATGGAATAACACTTACAATGTGAGGGTATAAATGGAATAACACTTACAATGTGAGGGTATAAATGGAACAACACTTACAATGTGAGGGTATAAATGGAATAACACTTACAATGTGAGGGTATAAATGGAATAACACAATGTGAGGGTATAAATGGAACAACACTTACAATGTGAGGGTATAAATGGAACAACACTTACAATGTGAGGGTATAAATGGAATAACACTTACAATGTGAGGGTATAAATGGAATAACACAATGTGAGGGTATAAATGGAATAACACTTACAATGTGAGGGTATAAATGGAATAACACAATGTGAGGGTATAAATGGAACAACACTTACAATGTGTGGGTATAAATGGAATAACACTTACAATGTGTGGGTATAAATGGAACAACGCTTACAATGTGTGGGTATAAATGGAACAACACTTACAATGTGAGGGTATAAATAATATAACACTTACAATGTGAGGGTACAAAGGGAACAACACTTACAATGTGTGGGTATTTTGCTATTTTTGAGATGATGCGTGCTCTCTGGAGATAATATCTGGATATCTGATCGAGGTAACTGGCAGCCTCACTTTCAACTTGTCTTGCCTCAGCCACCACGTCCTCCTGTCAGCGGTGGGAAAACAAAGCATTTTGTTTACACTCAGCAGTAGGAAAATAAAGCATTTTGTTTACACTCAGCAGTAGAAAAATAAAGCATTTTGTTTACACTCAGCAGTAGAAAAATAAAGCATTTTGTTTACACTCAGCAGTAGAAAAATAAAGCATTTTGTTTACACTCAGCAGTAGAAAAACAAAGCATTTTGTTTACACTCAGCAGTAGAAAAATAAAGCATTTTGTTTACACTCAGCAGTAGAAAAATAAAGCATTTTGTTTACACTCAGCAGTAGAAAAACAAAGCATTTTGTTTACACTCAGCAGTAGAAAAATAAAGCATTTTGTTTACACTCAGCAGTAGAAAAATAAAGCATTTTGTTTACACTGAGCGGTGGGAAAACAAAGTATTTTGTTTACAATGTCATCCATGAGTGTGAATAACATGATCATTGCTTGTTTTGAAGTCTAGTATAATCTTGACTAATCCATCAGTGAGAAGCAAAAACTTTGTTCTACAAGTACAGAAAAATTATTAGTAAACACTTATTTATGAGGTAGCTTTAACAAACCTGTATTGAGACTCCAAAATTATTCCCATCTTCTATCTTTGGAATTAAGAAGTTAATCCACATTCTGACCTAAATTAAAAAAAATGTATTTTAATACACGCAATTTTAAAAAGTAAGGTGATACTGGATAGTTTTTTAAAAAATACTAATAACCATGTTCGCATGTTCCATAAGGCCTCGCATCAACGGCTTAGCCTTTTCACAATAGCTGTGGACAAACTTGTTGTAAGGGATTGATCCACCAGGAAACACTAGCACACGTGTACCTGTGGAAATAGACATTATAATAACAGTAAAATAGTTGATTGACAGTCTAAATTAAAAGTTGATAAGATATATAATTGAAAAGTACTATTATTTTATTATTACAGTTATATTTTAAAATATGAATTCATAAAGTATGGTTTGCCAATATAAATCTAGTGGTGTTTTCTTTTTACCCAAAACATTTGGACTGTGGTTGTTTGTAGCATCATCCTCCATTTTTCTCTTTTTAGCTCCAGGCTTTGAAATAAAATATAAACAGTCAAAAACAGCTTGTAATCGTTTTATACCTAAAGAAGGAAACAATATTTAAATAGCGTAAGTAAATAAAAATTGTCTACATGTGAATACCTCGCCTGAAGGATCGTTGACATTATTTGTTTCTTCTAGTGGTACAGGGTAGGGGATATCTGCTAGCTGCTCCAAGTCTTTAGGATCCTCTGCTTTCACTTGCTGAATATTATAACACTTGCATTATAAAATAGTATACTTAACTTTTAATAGAAATTTATATGGTCTGTAATCAAACTAAAAGTAATATTATTCAAAATATCCTTTAATCAATTTCAACATAGCTTACCAAAGTAATAATTTTTATCTAGCTTAATGTTTTATCAATTAATTATTAAAATTAATATTATTATAATAAACAAATTTTCAATTGAAATTAAGTTGGCCTACAAAATGTATATTTCAACAAACCTTGAACAAGCTATCAATCTCTAACACTTTTTGAGGAAAAGTTTCCCGTACAAGCTGCTCTGACTGAAAAATATATCGTACATTTTCTATGTAAGATTTTCATAATTGCTTACTACAACTTAAAATTTTGAAAATCAAAAATACGTAATAATTTAATTTTAATTAGGCCTACCAAGTAAAGTTTATGTTTAAGTTTAATAAGATTTAGAATAATTTTTAAAAAAAACAATCAACAACTAATAATTATACAGTTTTTTTTACCTCTTTTTTAAAAGTTTCAATAAATTCAGTAACCTTTGAATGAGACAAAATATAGAATTAGTGACATAATAGAAAAAATGTGGTCAGAGTAGAATATACAATTTAGGTTGTTTTAAATACAAAAGAACAGTAGGCAGAAGTGGACCTAAAAATGTATTGGTATAAGCCTATATATTTATAGTATGTTTTTTTTAAATGAAATCACATTCAGTTGCTAGTGAGTATTTACTGGAGATGGGGATTGCCTAGGTAGTCCTATAGAGACCAACATGTTTTCCAGCTAGATTAGTTTTCTATTAGCCTGTTTATTTCTAACAAAAAAACAATTTAATTTATTAAATTAAAAACTATCTCAAATGGTGTCAACAGTCATTAAAAAATAGAACAACTAGGCCTATAGGTGACATTGCTAATAAATAAACACATCAATTTTGTGATTCAAGGTTAGCAACTAGCCACTAGTAGTGTAGTGTGTTAGTAGCTACTACATAGTTTGTCTACTACTAGCCCATCATCAGTTTGAATAAGCCAAGAATAGGAAGGCTTAGGCCTAACACCAACAATTAGTAATTTGCATGAACCTACATGCTGAATTTTAATTTGTTTCATATCACTGTTCAAATGTTGGACGAATTGGAAGATCTAGTACTAGTCTATCAACCAGTCATTCAAAACTAGACCCCTTATTATTTGATTGAAATGGGTAAATTTGCTTTTTATTTCAATTGTTTTACATGCCATATTGAATGGTACTGAAAAAAAATCAAAAGATTAAGTTTGTAAAACCTTATTAAAAAGCATGCCATCCCCGTGGTGTAATATAAGAATATACGAGAAAGTTTAAGGGAGATCACTCTCACTTTATTTTTTGGTCTGATCTCAATGGACAATACAGAGTTGACAAGAATCTTCTATCATATTGATCGTAATTGATGTTGACATGGAAAAACAAAATTTATATTTTGACTTCAGAGCGGCTGTAAAAATTATTTTTAAAAACTTTAGGCCTAAGCCTAAAAATAATTCAGAAATTTAATATTTTTAGAATCAATGTTATAAAAGTTTTAAATCCAGAGAACTTGAAAATAATTTTTTTAAGTTAAAGGATACCTTTCTATTTATTTTCATCAAGCCTAAGTTATAATCTGATGTTTCACTTTTATAAGACTAACAGTGATTGCCTGTACAGGAATTCTGTGATCAATTTTCTGACAGCCCCACATATTAACCTATAGGTTAGTTTTCAGATCGTTTTATTTTACTAGATAGATCTTAGATCAGGTTGCTGCAAATCTTCTGCAAGTTTTTTTTCTGTCTTTCTTAAAAAAAAAACAATTAGGGCCTACTACACTCAACTTTATTAATAATATTTAGGCCCTAGATTTAATAATTGTTGCTAGGGCCTAATTTTCTGTCAAATAAACTTTAAGTTATAGGCCTAACATTTATTAATTTTATTTCAACTGTCAACTATGGTTTACACTAGTTTACACTTTACAGCAACAAAAATTGCCGAAACTCAACAAACTTTACCAGTCAGATAATTTCCAATGCTATAGGCCCTACCATATCACTATATAAAATTATAAAGTATATCGGTAGTATATTGTGTGATTATCAAGAAGTTTTCTTCTGAGTAAAATGTAGGGACATGGACATGACGCGCGCTTTGCCGCGGGCGAGGAGAGCTGTTCGCCGATACCGTGATTTTGCGCTACGGCGTTTTTTGCGATGGGCAGTTCCAAAAAAAACATTTTTTTCCTACAACCCAAATGATTATTGTCATGGTTTTAATAGATTTACAACTAGAAATGGACATCGTTTTTACTTACAAGTTGTTTTTTTTTCCAATGGATTATTATTTTATGGAGTTTTTCATTGAAAATAAGGTAAGTTTGAGCAAATTTTTCAGATATAGCATTTTATGGCACAGTAATAAGTTTTAAGGCACAAATAGAACAACCATTTTTCTATATGAATATCAAAATTTTTTCGCGACAATCGGACCCAAAAAGGTTTTATTTGGGACCAAGAAAGCATCTCTGATTTCAACAAACCGGATGCTCATAATAATAGTGATTTAAATAATGAAACTAAAACCGGAAGTTAGTAAAAATTGGAATTTCCCAAATATTGTCAATGACGCTAAAGCAAAATATTAGAGCTGATTTTACAATCAGAGCCATCCATCATCTCCTTTTGCTTTTTATTGACTGATTTTCACTTCTATTGATAAACTAAAATGTATGCTAGCCTATCGAATACCAGATGTCTTTGTAAGTCTTTGTTTATGTCGCCATTATTACACAGTGAATGATTTTAAATTATTATAAATTATAGGCCTAATGGGCAATGGGTCTCCTCTCGTATAACTTCATCAGACATCAAGGCTATTCTAAGATTCTTGGTTGGGTCCAATCCATTCTTATCCCTTTTTTCTCCTTTTGGTTTATCTCACTTTCAGTTTCATTTGTTCAGTCAACAGTAACAGTAGTCTATCTAGTGACTAGTCTGTCTAGTCTACACTACAGACTAGTACAGAGTCTTAACTTAAGTCTTAACTCTTAGTCTACAACTACATCACATTTTCCAGATTTCACAACAAAGAGTTGACTTTTATTGAAAGAGACTTTAATTAAAATTTTAACGAGCAGGGTACCTTTTTTGAATCAAGTTTCGAAGACCGCGTAGTCATGTTGAAGATCTAGCAATCTAGATCTAGACTCTATATTTTAAATAGCAATATTTTTACTTTAGTCTGAATAACAGAATCTTTAATTTAGACCTAGCTGTTTCACGTTGATATTGGCTCCACAAGGGACGTCACTGAATGATTTCCGCTTTGTATGGGAAAACTAAATACTAAATACCAATTACTTAGTCATTTGAATAATACAATTTTTGATTCATATGAAATCATGACCACAGATCTATGTTTTAATGTTCCTTTTTAGAAGCACATATTAATTTATCTTTAATTGTCATTAGCATGGCTAAAGTGGATATTCAAACTGTACTCATTATTATGACTTCAAAGTAGGGCTTAGGCCGGCATAGGGTCAAGTAAATCAAATTTGAAAGAAAACCACTATAGATTCTAGATCTAGGCTTATTCGAAACTTTTTTTTTCTGAGACTTAGACCAGTAGCGTAGCGAGGGGGGGGGCGACATATGTCCCCGGGCGCCGACCTTAGGGGGTGCCAAAATGGGTTGGAAAAATAAATTGAAAGGTTGAGGGGGGGGGGTGCAAATCGAACATTTTGTCCCCGGGCGCCGGGAAGGGTTGCTACGCCTCTGACTTAGACTCCAGCGGCCATTATAAGCACCGATAGGGGGGAGGGTGGGGTGGACACAATGACGTAAACATGCAAACTATAGAGAAAACAATGCTTAACCCAGCTGTATTAACAAATGACTATAGATAAACATCATTAGTATTAAAGCTTTTACCGGGGTGGGGGGGGGTGACATCAACTGCTAAATTTAATTTACAGATAAAATTAAGAGGGGGGGTGACAACATGAGGTGGCGCACCGGGTGACACCAAACCTAGCGACGCCACTGATAAGCACTACCAACTTTTAATTATAGCGAGGCTAATTTTGTTTATGCGTATTCTGTTGCAGTAGGTAAAATATTCTTATAATACTTTCATTCAAGCAATAATAACATATAGAAAAAAACGGGCGTTCTAATCGTGACTGAAATTGGTTTTTTTTAATCTGGTACACAGCTAGACTGTGGCCATGTAATTTCCTAGAAAAAATGCGCAAAGGAAAAATGTGCAACGAAAATTGCCCGAAAAGCGCACTCGACTTCGTAACGGAAAGGGGGGGGGGGGAGATAGAAGGTTCTATATCATATTTTCAATATAAATTAAAAAAGTAAATGGCTCCATAGTCTAAGAGACGATTGGATAATTGTACCCTGGAAATCAAGGCGCAATGGCAGAGCAGTGACTTGAGAAGAGCCACGCAGATGTTCCCCATGTATCAGGCACCCTTTCTCCACACAACCAACGCCAAGTTGTATGGGAACAACATATCTGGTTTCTTTTTGCAGCTCCTTGTACATTAGCTGTGTCGCAGCGGGCTGAAATGTGACGTCATTTTAGGGGGCTCTGGCTTTTTGTGACGATGTGTGACAGGAGGGGGGGGGGAGGTAAAATCGTCAAAAAATGCATGACGTCATTTATAGATGACCCCCTGTAGTGTTTTGATCTTTTTTAAAAAAAAACTTGTTGGTATTTCTCCATTTTACCACTGGGGTCGTCCATAAATGACGTCACACTTGTGAAGGGGAGGGTTCGTCATTTTGTGACGGTGTATGAAGAGGGGGAGGGGTTCAAATGGTGTGACGTCACACGCTTGCATTATAAAAAAATTTGCCGTTATTTCGCGTTTTAGAAAACTGTTTTAATAAATTGTAATATGAATTGATTAAAATACTCTATGTTGACAGAGTTCGGAAAGATTTTGTAAAAATATCGTATTTTAAGACAAACCCAAACTGCAATTTTGAAGGGGGTTGTAGGCTGAGGTGTGACGTCATTTTAGTGAGTGGGGGAGGGGGTCTGGCTTTTTGTGACAATGTGTGACGGAGGGCTGGGTGGGCGGTAAAAATCGTCAAAAAAAAAGCATGACGTCATTTATGGATGACCCCATTTCGATTTCTTCATACGTAGACATAAAATTTAGGCTTTGATGGTGAAAAAATGCCCAATGAAAATATTTATCAGTTGTTAGGAGCTCCCTTTTAAAAAATTTCGAGCCTTTTGGAATTTGACAGTACGCCTCAGATAATACGTAGGCCTCAATATTATTATTTTTTCATATTTCTTTAATATTTAATTGCAATGTTATTAGAATGTCGTTGGTATTTTACTTTTTTATTTTTTAAAATAACGGCCAATGCGAAAAAAAGGCCAAGATCTACGTGCCGACTGTTGTTGCCGTTATAAAATAAGGGGTTTTATTATTATAATTTGATCTATTAGATCTATTAATTTTAACTTTACCGTTGTTGGAGATCCAGGCACGGTAAAACTTAGGCCTAAGCGGCTGATTTTCAGCAGAGACATTTTAAAAAAAAAATAGATTTTAGATCAGGTTTAAAATTTAAAGAAATTAGGTTTAAAGCTTTCTTGAACTTATCTATACACAGCAGACACTGATGTCAAATGACACCGATGGAGAGAGGTTTGTTAATTATATACCGTCTGAGGAAGATAATGTGTGTCGAAAGTTCAATTTTCCCAGTAGCACCGGTGCCGAATCGTGCATAATTACACACGCATAATTTTATTTGGATGCGACGCAATGTAATTATAAGATGTAGACTAAAAAAAAAGTATGTATAAAAATACGTTTTAATAACTATTCTTTCTATAATTATGCTCTAAAAAGAAGAAAATAAATGATTTTCTTTAAAACGAAAGAAGGCGCCGTAGTGCTCACAGGATCTACTTGTGTGCGCGGTGCTATATGAGAACGTACTATGTAGGGCAGAGTGTTTGTTGAGGCGAGACCAATAAATAACACCACTTTTCGAAAAGAAAACTATAGTCCAACTATGCTCTTTAAAATCCGAAAATTGGTGGGGGGGGGGGGGGGGGGGGGGAGAGAATGACGTGGAGCTCCTGCTTTCTCACTCCCGTCCCAACTCCACCATTAAACCGTGCATGTACAACCCGTTCATTCCTCAGTGGGAAGTTATAGCGCCTGCCTACATCACAACCCCGGTATTCAAAATTAAAACAATTAGGTCTCTGTATAGAATAACACAATTGATGTCATTAAATCAATTGTTACTTGATCATGCATTGTATACTCAGCTGTCTTTCTTTAAACAGATTAAATAGCGGTATTTCTTAAAATATAAAGTTATTAATGGTAGTTAAAACCACATTTGGCAATTAGAGTAAATTTTTATCTGGCTATTTGGTTTAAAATAAACAAGAAACTTCTCCAGTCATCATTTGTTGTGAGATTTGTTGGGACGGCAGCTCAGTGTTTTAATTTTTTTAAAGAATGGCGGGTGTACACGAAGGTCCCGAGTACGGGATCGGTGATTTTGTCTTACTGCATGAACTTTCACTTGATGCTTTTATGAATAATCTGAAACACAGGTAAACTTACCAGTAACAATTTTTAATTTTATAGGCTAGGCCTATTGTATTTGTTCTATGATAAATCTATGAACTATGATTGGTTGGTTAGGCGAGGGCAGGGCTGATCACTGATCATTATTCAATATTCATTACTTTTGATCTATCATTACATTACACATTAGTGTCATTAGTTATAATAGGGCCTATGTTCAATTAGGCTACTATCAAGACCTAATATTTAATTAGATTGTATTTAGGCCCTACTTTAGCTTTATTTTTTAATTAATAATTATGCATCACATTGCAGTTTTCACAAGTGATAAGATCATGAACTCAAAGCAATACTTTTTCTCATAAAAATATTTTAATATAATGATAAATGATTTTGTTACTGTAAGTTAGGTACATTATCCCCAGTCGTATTTTGCATGAAATGATAGCCGTGGCCATAAGTATAAGTAACATTCTGATCTCTAAGTGATAAGATCAAGAGATTGGTCCCCAAGAACCCATTCATTATTCATTCATAATCATTCTTGAAAAATCAATTCAGGGAAAATGTTTATACCGGTGTCCGATAATGGAATCTTCTTTAAAAAGGGGTGTTAGGCTACTGGTAGTTAACTAAATACACACATGGCTGGCTAATGTCAATGCTAACCCTGTCCCTAAATCATAATCCATACTTCAAGGCATGCGACACTTCATTAAAATAATGCAACATTATTTAGTAACAAAACAAAAAAATTATACTCTTAATATAATAAGCATGTGATTGCATGTTATCTAATAAAAACCCTACCCAATACTACACACAGCTACCTCTTTATATGACTCAGAAAGTTGAGTAAGGTATGTAATGCTCCTAACTTATTTGTTACTTTTATTTTTTTAAAAATATGGATGCTGTTAAAAAAGAACACCACTTGTTTGTATCTTCTAGGTTTGAAAAAGTAAAAATATACACATACATTGGAGAAGTGCTGGTGTCAGTAAACCCCTACAGACAGTTGGATATTTACAATAACAGTTATGTTCAGGAGTACAAGGACAGAGAGATTTATGAGAGACCACCACACATTTTTGCTTTGGCGGACAGTGCTCATAAAACAATGAGACGACAAGCACGGGATACTTGTATTGTTATTTCAGGTAAGCCATTTCTCTCTTATGTTGTGTCCTTTCTATTGTTCGTCAATGATTTGTCTGTTGGGTGTCCTTTCTCTTTCATGTTGTTTGTCCTTTTACTAGCTTGTTTGTCATTTTTCTTCACTTTTCTCATATTTCTGTCTATTTTTTTGCTTTGAATAAGTTTACATTTATGAGATGCTGTATCTTATAATTTATTAGTTTTTTTATTAATAATATAATAATATTTGCATTTTAATTTTCTTTAGATATGTCATGTTTACAAGGGTTATTAGCATCCTAGATTCATTCTTTTAACTAATTCAAGCTCATTTTATTCCTCCATTTACCTCATTGACTTCATTTTCAGTCCATCTATTCATTACAATAGTGTCAGTTTTATCCTTTATTAAAATACTCTTATTGATATAATTTTTTAGTCAACCTGTATGCCTTTGGAACACCACAGATCTTTTGTAACATATCTGTATTGTCAATACTTTTTGTACACACTTTTCTTCAATAACAAATGTTTTTTTTAAACATATTTGCAAAATCAATTGATCCTTCTTTGTTGCATAGGCCAGTGATTTAACACTAACAACCTTCAGTTTGTTTGGTTGCCCACAAATTTAATCTTGCTTACTTACTATTGTACCATCTGGTATATTTTGGTTGTTTTACTTTTCTAGTTTTGAATGAGAAAAAAACCTGTTTAGTATTTATGAAACATGAATAAAATAAGACAGGTAAAATATGAGTTACATAATACAAAGATATATTTTTCTGGCATACATTTACCAGTGTAGGCTTTTGACATGAAAATAGATAGCACAATTTTTGTCCAGGAAGAGGCTGTGAAATGGTTTATTTGTTGGTCTGCCTTTTAAAAAAATGCCTCTTTACATTTTTGTGTCACTATGTAGTATACCTTCACATAACCTTATCTGTAATAAAGCTCTTTATGAAGTACATCATTTAACTGATAAGGCCTGGGACTACAGGTTGTGGCTTGTATTTGACTAGGGTTTATTATGGCTAGCTTCAACCTTTAGTACACTTGACTAGTTAAGTATTGAGCCAATATACATTTTGTTTGTGTGTTGTGTGAAATTACATACTTTAGTCTGATGAACTGCTGTTTATGGTGAAGAATGTGTGACAGTTTAAAATGTTTTTAGCCAGATACTCCACTGTTTGCTGGTGTCAGATTGCTTGCTGTCTCCATTTACCCCCACACAACACATTTATCTCTACACACTTCACATTTACCATTACACACAACACTTACCTCTACACACTACACATTTATTCTGATACACTACACATTTACCTCTACACACAACACATTTACCCCACACTACACATTTACCTCTACACATAGCACATTTACCTCTACACACAACACATTTACCTCTACACACAACACATTTACCTCTACACACAACACATTTACCTCTACACACAACACATTTACCTCTACACACAACACATTTACCTCTACACACAGCACATTTACCTCTACACGCAACACATTTACCTCTACACGCAACACATTTACCTCTACACGCAACACATTTACCTCTACACGCAACACATTTACCTCTAAACACAACACATTTACCTCTACACACAACACATTTACCTCTACACACAACACATTTACCTCTACACACAACACATTTACCTCTACACACAACACATTTACCTCTACACACAACACATTTACCTCTACACACAACACATTTACCTCTACACACAACACATTTACCTCTACACACAACACATTTACCTCTACACAACACATTTACCTCTACACACAACACGGCGTGTGGGTGTCAAGAGGCTTTAGAAAAAATTCCTTGTACCCACACATTCCATTTGTTGGAGTGTGTGCTCAGAGAGCGTAAATTCTCCGCCCTGATCGTTCTTTCACTTTCACCGGAAACAGGCCAAATGTTGGGCAACACTGACACATATTTGTAAACACTCTCATTAATTTCATAGTCACTCGAGTTGACTCAGTTGTTTACCTCCTGATTACTACATTGTTTATGCCAGTGACGCAAGCTCTGAGTGTCGCATAATTGTTGAGTCACCTGACCAGAATACCCGCAGTTACTAGTGAGCTGAAGATATGAACCCCACACTATATAGTTTTTGTTAGTGTATTTATATTTAGAATTTAGTGACATCAGTTTATGTGTGGAATACACACATACATATATGTGTATGTATATATCGTCTTCTTGCCCTGCTACTGCTGTCATCTTAAAGTGACTAAAATTATCATTGCCGACGAAATTGTTTCTTTAAACACTAGCGAGCTTGTGTATACAGAGCAGTCTTTGCCGCTGACAAACATAATCGGTGGAACGGTTGCCCTTTGATCTTTCCTCACTTGAAGGTTTTCTCTCTGGAATTTGGTCAAACATGGCCGTGTCGCCGTGTCTGCGGGCAGATCTCTGGTCGCTGTGGTCTGGACACGAGATAGCTGGACGTCTTTAATGTGCCGTGTCTTTACACGGGCTAACAGGACGTCTTTAATGTGCCGTGTCTGGACACGGGCTAACAGGACGTCTTTAATGTGCCGTGTCTGGACACGGGCTAGCTGGACGTCTTTAATGTGCCGTGTCTGGACACGGGCTAACAGGACGTCTTTAATGTGCCGTGTCTGGACACGGGCTAACAGGACGTCTTTAATGTGCCGTGTCTGGACACGGGCTAACAGGACGTCTTTAATGTGCCGTGTCTGGACACGGGCTAACAGGACGTCTTTAATGTGCCGTGTCTGGACACGGGCTAACAGGACGTCTTTAATGTGTCGTGTCTGGGGCAGATCTCTGGTCGGGACACGGGCTAGCTGGACGTCAGTAATGTGTCGTGTCCTGTAGTAACACTAGGATAGTAGATACTGACATTTCTGTTAGTGTGTTATGCTCATGATTACGTTTAGAATCTGTGCTATCCGGGACCAATACCAGGAAAAACAGATTCTTTCCGTTTACGCTTACCCATGGCTTTCCTAAAGACTATCGATCATGTCTGATATCTCCCCCCCCCCCCCCCAAAAAAAAATTACTTAATAATCCTATAATTTCCTATCTTCTGACTGCATAGCAGCGGCGCTGTTTTCTGACTGCAAGAATCAATTTAAAGCCAAAACTGTCTCCCTATAGATAGTCAGATGCTATTTATTGTTTACCGTGTAAATCTTGTCTAACAGAGAGGGCGGGTAGGGACGTCTTATCAGTGTGTCATGTTTGTGTCCTCCCTGATCCCGAGTGGCTGATTGGACAAATTATGACGGTTTTACCACCCCCTCCCAGATCCCGCTGATTGGGCAAATTATGACGGTTTTACCACCCCCTCCCAGTTCTATATAGCCAACTCTACAGATGCATTATCCTGCGCTTACCAAGGTACAAACTGAAAACAGCTACAGCATAATTTAATTAATTCTAGAATACTCGGCTTACCCTGGCTAGATAACCTTAATGAGAACATCATACATTTTTAAATAGCTAACACCTAACCAACGAACCCTACCCCTATAAGACTTCCCTCAAAATTAGCACAACAATCTCCTCATTGAATCATTGCTGGTATTACGTGACATGCTATTTAAACCTGTCATGAATCCCCGTGAATAGTGGTGTCGGTGAAGGTCTTGCGTGTTAGAGCTGCATTCAACCATAGAGACCATGTTGAGTGGTCCGTGAAGCAAGGTCGTGTAGATAGACAAATCAGTTTCTTGTGATGTCAGTCATTTGTTGAATTGTTTTTTTTTCTGCTCATGTCAACTCAAAGGATCAAGCCATAGCACTGACAGCAACATTTTAAATCATGTACAAGAGTACATACATTACAGCACGAAAAATAACACATACAATAACACCCATACAGAAGATCACACACACTAACACACCTACATACTACCACACACAACACCAAACCTATATAACAAACACCAAACCTATATAACAAACACCAAACCTATATAACAAACACCAAACCTATATAACAAACACCAAACCTATATAACAAACACCAAACCTATATAACAAACACCAAACCTATATAACAAACACCAAACCTATATAACAAACACCAAACCTATATAACAAACACCACACCTATATAACAAACACCACACCTACATAACACAACACCACACCTACATAACACACCACCACACCTACATAACACACCACCACACCTACATAACACACCACCACACCTACATAACACACCACCACACCTACATAACACACCACCACACCTACATAACACACCACCACACCTGCATAACAACTCTACACCTGCATAACAAACACCACACCTACATCACACACACATACATAACATCACACACTAACACACCTACATACTACCACGCACAACACCAAACCTATATAACAAACACCAAACCTATATAACAAACACCAAACCTATATAACAAACACCAAACCTATATAACAAACACCAAACCTATATAACAAACACCAAACCTCTATAACAAACACCAAACCTCTATAACAAACACCAAACCTATATAACAAACACCAAACCTATATAACAAACACAAACCTATATAACAAACACCACACCTACATAACACAACACCACACCTACATAACACACCACCACACCTACATAACACACCACCACACCTACATAACACACCACCACACCTACATAACAACTCTACACCTGCATAACAAACACCACACCTACATCACACACACATACATAACATCACACACTAACACACCTACATACTACCACACACAACACCAAACCTATATAACAAACACCAAACCTATATAACAAACACCAAACCTATATAACAAACACCAAACCTATATAACAAACACCAAAACTATATAACAAACACCACACCTACATAACACATACATACATAAACAACACACACACACACACACACTAACATACCTACATAAGAGTACATAACTGAATCAAGCTTACTATAGACAAACGGATTTGCCAATAATCGGCGAATA